GGGGGGGGGTTTAAAATTTTCAAAACTTATATAATAAAGCTTATTTCTTTCATCTTACTTTGAAACAAGGAATAACAAGAGATAGAATGAATACAAACAATATAATTTTATAACTGAAAAAATGTCACCATTTTAGTAAAATTAATTTTTAGGATAATTACATCAATTAGAATATCGATTAATTTGTCAAATAAAATAATTTAAACATAATGTCATCCTTAACTATGTCATTGACATTCCGGGAGGCCAGTCGATCACTCAATAGTATGGTTAGAATATGAACATAAAGCATTTTACCACCTTTATAATTAAAAGATATAGATACCAGGTATGTCATTAAGTATTTTATAGTAAAGATAGGGTTGAGTAATTAGTAGGTATATCAAAACTTCCTCCATACTCGTTGAACGTGAAAATATTAAATTTTATTAGGTATCTCATGTTTTAAAATTTCCCTGAAAACATATAATGCAAGTTGCAACATGCCATTTATGAAATACCTTATATGGTATTATCGTTGTTTATCCATCGTGACTATTTCAWATCGACTCATAGTTACCTATCTCCATGATGTATGCGTATGAACATCAAATGTGTGATGTGTGAATGGCCTATCTAGGATTTTGTTAAGGGAGTTTTAACTAAAAGGTGAATTATTTATATACATGATGTTGATATATATTATGTTACTATAATATCTATAACATAAATAAATAAAAATAATTTAGGTTAGAAAAACATTTTTTCTATAATAAAAGCAATCGGCCAATCTATAGACTAAATAATAAATGTATTAAAAATAACCATAATGATGTTATTAATTATTATTTTTATACTTATTTACAAAATAATAGGTATGTAACACATCAACACGTGCTAGAAGAGGGTATCATATTTCCTAAACAACTCCATAATGTTTATACTATCYGATGTATATAGGTCCTTAGTATTTTGTATATATTATGTATAAATGTATAGGTAATGTATATAAATATATGATACTGAGCTAGTGGAGTCCAGACCTCGTCAACAGCATACTTAATATTATATTTTCCCTCCCCTCTAAAAATTCAAATATGTCTATAAGCCTGTAGACGCCCTTGAAAATATTATATTCCTCCACGCGTATTTCTAATAGGACGTGTTTCGGCTCCAAAATAACTCGCCAATCATTATTATGATCGAGATTATGATTGATATTCATTAAAGCGATTTTACCATACTTATGTTATGTGTGCGACAAAGAGACGATAAATATCTGCATGAGGTACCTACCATGGTTCTCTCTAATGTGTGTACCATTATACCAGTCCACGTCTATCGAGAAGAGCGAATTCTTTATTATAATTAATATCTTATTATGACCTGCCTTCCTGCGTAGTCATGTGAGGTGTTCGACTATATAGGCACTTAAATCTGTATATGCATGTTTAAAATATATATTTAATTTGCTCATCTCGCACGCGTTAGATCGATATACATGTAGTATACTTATATATTGTGTAGTTGTGTGTATATTATGTATCGTACATGATACATTATCGAGATTGTAAAAGTAGGCAAAGATGGTAGCTGTACCTGGCAGACAGGTTCTCTCTTTCMCGGCGCACCCACGACACGTCCGATAAACTGCATTCTTCGAGAGAAACACGGTGTGCCGGTATATAGCAGCATCAGTATCACATCCGTGGTTTGTGAGTTTATTTTTGGTAAGCGCTTTCATCGGATCGACGAAAGCGTGTTTTTTAATTGGTCAATTTATCCACAAGATCATTTTCGGTTGTACGTATATAGAGTTAACGTATAGGTAGTACGATAGCTAGAGCTTATATAAATATAAAATATAAACACTCTAAATTTAAAATTTAAATATCATATAGTTTTGTTCTTGTGTTTACTTATCAATATCATAATRACTTTTCTTTCAGAGCTCGTGAGAAAATCCAATAATGTGGTGGCCCCGGCCACGGTGGAAGAGTGACATTTTCACACGTTTTGTACTACTGTTATTATTCATCATCACAACCACAAATACGAAAAACGGAGTGATGGCAGACGAAGGGCAGCAACATTGCGGCTCGGGCAATATGTCTGCCGTGGTATGGACAACTGTCTTTTGCACGATGCTATTAGTTTTAGCGATTGTTGCGATATATTTTATTTACTGTAAGAGAAGAGAACACGGCTGGTCATCGTTATGGTGGAAAAGCAATTCGGGTAATTATCATAATTATTATACAAATTTATAGCCCCGTTCAGTTATTAAACATAATAAATAATATATTGTTATGAACTCTTGGAATAAATAATATTCGGTAATATTTCATACTAGCAATTAAAATCAAAAATCAGATCATTGGAAATTGTGTGTTGAGACATAACATGTGCATTGGAATCCACTGATTAGGGATTCCAATGACATCTTCAGACAAATGCATGATGTCTTTAAAAGTACCATTTCCAATCAAGTACTTAGTGAAAACAGTATTATTAACTAATATTGAAACAATAACAATCTGAATAAATTTTAATATCTATTAAAAATTACATTGATCGCATTTATTTACTATAGTTACACATAATATTATATTGGAAAAGTTCATAACAATAGATTATAATATTATATATTACATAAATTAATATGTATATATTTATTATAGTTTATAACAATATGTTTTTATTTATTTTTTTAAATATGTAAATCTATATACATTTAACAGACAAAAATCTCGTACTACAAACATCGGCTCCCGTGAAAAACCAACAACAAMTGAAAAATGGCGGCACCGATAATCCAGCATTTTCATCGGATGCTTATGTTGGCGACTGTGCTACAAAAACAGGATTGACTAGGGTCGTGCGCATTACCTCGTCATCTATCAGCGAAGGGTCGCTGTTAAACGAATTGTCATTAAACGAAGAAGATGGCAGACAAATCTATATGTGCAAACACAACGACGGATCAAAAGGTAAAGTAATTAATACAAAAGCTGATGTCTAAATAAAGCAATATAATAACTTGAACTATGGTTGAGCTTAAGCATAGCATTTTAAATACCAATAGGTTATTATATTTTTAGGCTTATGTGTTTGTAACACTTGGGAACTATTTAAATACTGAGTAGATTAGATATGTAACTGTGTATATGTCGAATAACTTATAAATAGGTGATATATATTATATATATATGTATAATTTAACTTGTATACAAATTTAATAAGCCCAAGTTAAATTTAATAATATATATTATATATACGATTTAGGATAAAATATATTATATACATTATGCCAAGTTCGTAAAATTGGCAGTTAAATTGATGTATATACATGAAATCGGCTGCATTATAAAAAAATACTGCTGATTTCGTTATAMCAACAATACCCTTAAAAAGATTTTATAAAATACATAGAGATAGTGAGATACAACTGTGGCGGTTGGATCATTAAATCAAATTGTTATTATTGTTATTTGATGTTAATAGTCAGAATTTATAAGTCAGAATCATCGAATTATATAATATTGTAAATATATGTTTATAGTAATGTATTGAATTTCGTCAAAGTTTGGACTTCAAGTGTTTATAAAAAATAATTGTGATTTTATATTTTTAATTTTTTTAACTTTAATAAGATAAATGTATAAGGAACCTAGCTTATTAGGTTTTTGAAGTTTTTGAATTGAAAACAAAAATATATTAACATGGGTACTCGTAAATTGAAAAAAATTAAAAAGTTTACTTTTTAYCCATAAATGAGTAGGTATACGCTTCGCGTAGCTTAAATATTTTCCTTTTTATTTATGTACTTATATTAAACGTAATGATTTCGGTATAATATATTCCTAGACTGATCTTTTTATTAATAATTTTAAATTTGTGTGACTATGTGCCTATAGTGTACAAAACTGCAGTGTCATAAGGTAATGTGTTGTAAAATGTATGCATTTGATATTGATGATCTTACGTATTTAGCAATAGCGTTGTTGATTTTATGAACTCGGCATAATATATTMTTAAAATATATATAACATATAGAAATTTTAAAGTTGTATATATAGTATAGATATATGTATATAACACATAATTTATAAGTATTTAACATCTATATTATTTTTCAAAAAATACCTATAATAAGATGAATATTTTAAGTGGTTAATATTAAGCTTCACCTAACCTGCACTACGAAATATAGTCTAGATTTAATGAAAAAAGAACAGCTTTCAGAGCTGAACTTTGTAACTGTATTTAGCGATTGTTTTTTATAAAAGTCCTGAGGTTTATCTATAAAATACATTTAAAATAAACCAGGCTAATTAACTAGGTATTATAAAATATTATCAATGAAAACTGCCTTGAGAATCGATTCCATCAGTTAGTAAAATATTTTTCTAATTGACTGTGCTATTATTGGCTTAAATGAGTGGGAGATCGAGATTAATTTTAATTTTCTCATTACTTATCATAATAATTTATAACATTAATGTTAATAGTGTTAATTTTACTCATTTGAGTAAGGCCACATGGGAGTTTTGTAAATATATACCCTATACCTAATATAATATATGGATGTTACGTTTAAATTGTTTTGTGTGTATCAGTGTATCACATTATTAAAAAAACTATAGGTATTCAATATACTCATAGTTCATACATAATATATTTCACCTGAATTTGTATTACATTTACGCCAAGTCAAAACAATAATGTGTTGAAGTATTCTTAAATATCATTTATCTAAAATATTGGGGATCTAAGAATGTTTAGTATTTTTAACTATTTCGATAATTCGTGACACCTCCTTAAGAAAATACGTCCTGTTTTAATAGCAGYAAATATTTTAAAATATACACCTAACACTTATATGGGCCATGTCCTGTGCCTTAAGTTTATAATACTTGTTTTAGATATTCAAGTTTGAATAATTAGTTATAAATTACAATAGGTTACCATTCAACATGCAAAAATAGTTTATTTATTTAAAAGAATCTGATCAAGAATTTATTTATACATAATTTATTGTAAAATAAATTGGTAATATGTGTAGGTATACATTTAAATTATTTACACATGATTTTACATACTAGTGATATTCCATGATGAGATATTAATCTATCCATTATTAGCATATCATAGCTAGATGTATTAGTTGTACAATATTGACTTTATAACAACTTCAACACGAATAGACACCATACCATCTGCTTAAGTTATAAAAAATCACGGTGTATAAAATAAAATGTAAAATACATATTATTTTATATTATAGATTATTATGGTATCACTTATMATATAATATAGGATTTAAATTACAAATTGAATAATAAATATTGTATATCCAATGTTTATTACTTTTTTAGTTGAATATATTAATTTTGCGATACTAAAAATACTTTCAAACTTGGTTATTTTCTATTTTTATTAATTATTATTTATGTATACTGACAATATACATCTACCGTAGCGTAGAATATAAAATTTATGATTCAGTGCATTTTGACTTACACTTTCATTTTATTAATATAGTTAATACCACCCATTTATACTTCAATGTAGAAAATCGAGTTTACATTTCGAGGTAAAACCACGTTTATTTTATATAAACCAATTATACAACTAACTTTTATGCAGTAAAAAATGTAATATAGATAAATCTGAATATTTCATGTTAAAAATGAATGTAAAAACATTGACAGTTTATTAAAAGATATATTTAAATCAAAAAGCGCGATTAGGACAAGTCATAATCTCACAATTGTTGAGCGTTTGGCATTCACTCGCTACGCTTTCACAGTACTGTAACTATAATATGTCTATATACTTCATAAATACTAACTTAATAGTTATATCCAAACTATTTGTAAAAACATATAACCACATGATAGAATGAATCATTTTACTTTCGTATGRTGAACTTAAAATATTTTATATTTTGCTATAACAATTAAACTCTTATAGCATATTTATTTATTAGTAGGTATAATATAATATGACAGAGGTACTAAATTATATTATTACATTCTGTATTGTTGTATTAACCAGGAAATTGACTTTTACGATTGGGCTCCATCTAAGGGCTAAGAAGTAAGAATGTTGGTACTCAGGGCCGTTTAAAAGAAAGGAACGGGGTCATTTGGTCCAGGACCTCATATTTTACTTACTAAAAAACTCCAAATCCCATATTAATATTTAATACGTTTTATGATTATTGATTAGTATTACTCATGATGTTATCCTGAAGAAAACTTATTATCGCTAAAATATTTTTCTTTATAGAATGCAATTGTGTTTTTTACATGTTTCGTAATTTTAATCTATTATAATTATATAAACAAGCTACGCTTTTGATTATTTTAAATTATGATAATTGTTATATTTTATTATTGTCTTGGTGCTGCTGTGCAAACTGTGAAGAATATAAATGTATTCCAAAATAATTCGTTATTGCAAGTTTATAGCTATTATTCAGTATTCAAGGACAATTATTGAATGTTGAATATTCTCTTTATTACTTTATTTATTGTTTAGATGTGTTGTGTAGCTATTAAAGATGACAGAATTTKATTATTTTAATACTGAAGGCTCAAAATTACATTAAATCGATATCATAATGGATCATAAGTTTGAATAATCTCGGTTGGTTAAGTTTGTTAAATTTTGCAAGTTTTTATATATTTTTTAATTATATCGTGTTATGATGATTTAAGGGTCTTTGCATTAATTTATCCCTGGTTCCAAATAACTTTGGGACGACGTTGCAGGGATCAAAGGTATTGAAAGAATCTAATAATATATGTAACGACGCTACGTGGCGTATATTAGGAAAACAATGAAGTACATATTATATGTTTTTTTAAAGTAACAAAAAATAGCTTTTACATAAGATATCTATTGAATACTTTACTCGTTACAGAAAAATTTTCAGTTTGCCTCGCCACTGTTTTTAGATTGTACTATTATTTACTAACGTCTAGCAAGTACTACCAAGCAGTGGCGTGGTGAACTAAAAATATTCCAGAGGCAACCCCCCATATAGATGACCCACCCCACATGTATTTGCATGTAAATAAGTACAATCCTTGATACCCACCCCCCCAATATTTGAAAAATCCCAGAGCCAATTGCCTCTGAAATTACTCTTTGCCACGCCACTGCTACCAAGAATGATCTATATAAATATACCTGCGTGTAAAAATAATCTATTCATATTTATGTATGTAGAGCTTAATATTTACCCACTTAATCAATGTATTTACATTTAGGCATATCAGTAAAACRGGCCTCGATAAAATGAATAAGTATGTGTTATACTCCATTTTCGTTATTAGTAATAATTATTTTTTAATATAACCAGTATAGAAATACTAAAATAAATAAAAATATAATAAGAACACTGAATGTTAATAATTTAATTTAAGTGTAATTAACTACGGTTTTTATTAATATAAATTAAAATTAAAATAAGTAAATAAAAATAAAAATAAATTTTTAATAATATTCATGTTGCTAGAATCATGATTAATAGAAAACCTCTAATTTTTAATACTTGGTAGGTTTCGGCGTTACGATGAGATCGTTATTTATAATACTATATTATAGGTAAGTTAGGTGCTAATTGTCGTATCGTTAATGAAGTTGTTAACTGGTTGGGTTAAACTTATTAAACTCGAATCAAACTAATATATTTATTATTATTTGTTTAGATCGTTTGGTTGCGTTGCGGTTGGTGTTTGATAAAGGGCAACAACAACTGAGCAGACCTACAGCCTCGGATCTAAGTAGCTCGCTGATTGAGCTGAGTCGCAAGTACGGGTTACATGTTGAACTGGAAACTGAGGGAGAAGCGGTCGTAGGGACATCGGGAAAATGCAACGATACTACTTCAGCAAAATGTGGAAAATCAAACATCCTGTCGGCTGTCCGTGGAAAAGCGCAACGTCTGTGGAACCATAGACAGTTCGTTTTCAAAGGGGGTGACAGTAGCGGCCGTGTGAACGCGGACAAGGAGATCGTTGACGGTGACTTAGAAAGCGGCCGCGCAGAAGCCGTCCACGCAGGTACGGCTCCACCGGTCCAGAAATCTTCWTCTTCTGTGATGACGGTCAACGAAACCGGRGCCGCCCAACGGCCGGCACGAAACAATGGCGGATCGTTACGGTACCGCACTCTGGAATACGGTGCATCACCCGTGGATGCTGAAACGCAGTCGTCACCAGACAGTGGCGTCCAGTGCTGTACAGTCAATCCATCGGTACCTGTCCCGGGGAAGGTGGATAAAGACGCGGCTGCCTCAGTGACAGTGACRATCGACAGTGATGTGGTAGTGGCGGAGGCAGCGGTAGATAAAGATACAGTAGTCGTGGCATCAGTGAACGATGTGGTAGTGATGGTGGAAAAACAYGAAGCAGTCAGACAGGACAAAGACGAAGCAGTCAAAGCGGACAAAAACGAAGCAGTCAAAACGGACAAAAACGAATCAGTCGTGGAATCGAACAAAAGCGCTGCAGCTGTGTTGAAAACAGTCGACGACGAGAAGAAATCGGTAGTGATGGCTAAACTGAAAAATGACGAACCGAAACACGCTAACCCACCGCCACCGCCTCCACCTCGTAAGTACAACACGGTGGTGGTTCCACCAACTGTTCCAGTGACTGCGGTCACCGTATCGCTTGCCACCGCTGCTGCAGTAACCTGCAACGCGTCTGTGGCCGATAACGCTACTGTTCCAACGGAATCCTGCACGGCATCGGTTCCTGTCGCGTGTACCGAACCGGTCAAGCCGCCTGCCGCTGCGATAAACGAAATCCGAGTGGACGATGACTATTATTGGTGCACCACAACCACCATGGCGCCGTCAATGTCTACCTTTGGGAAACGACCGTCCGCGATGTCAAGTGTCGAAAGCGGCAGTGGTGGTGGTGCAGCGGATACCACGATTGGTGACGGAGCTGCAGCCGTCCAAGGCGTGTACGACAAAGGCGCCACGATGGCCCCGCTCACGGCGGACGACAATCGTGACGTGGTGGCCGGCGCCACGACCAGTATCGAGGACGCATCGTTGCCGTCTTTTTCGTCTGACGAAGAAGAGGACGATGATGAAAACTGCAGCAACAGCGTGGTGTTGGCCGTCGACAAATCTAAGTTCCCGCTGTGCAGTTCCATCAGTACTTTGGCGGACGTTGTCGGAGGAGTATCCGGTGATGGCACCGACGTAATAAAGATTGACTGCAACGGGGAGTCACTGAATAATAAAAACAAAAACAATAACAACAACAACAACAACAACAACTGCGATGTCGATGTCGACGGCTCTAGAGTGGCGCCGCCTAACTCGGCGGAACCGAAATCGCCCACAAAGCTGCCATCTCTACGGTTGTCGCTGTCTTCTCCACTATCGTCTACAGTCAATACATCGTGCTGTTCGTCGTCAGCATCGTCGACCTCGTCGACCTCGCCGTCACCCACGAATAGCAGCACCAACAATTCGCCAATCGTGTCGAAAATACCGGTACGGCGGCAGTCCGCCGGCTCAGGAGTAGTGTCCGTTTCCACTCCTCTGGCAAACGGCACCGCCAAGAAAGCCATTCCGTTACCGCTGTCGAGGAGCGGTTCCCGGTTAGCCATGTGGACTTCGGCCAACTGACCAATTGCATCGCACGAAACAAAAACTGTATAGTTGTTACGACCTGCGACATTTATTATTTCATGCGTATTATACCACCAATATTAATTTTTGAATATATTTTGTAGCACTATCGTGCGCGAAATTAATGAATTTAAAATATAATATAGGTGTATATTTTTTTTATATTATTTTATTATTTATTTTAAATACTACCTATATTTGTATGAAATAAAAACTATTATTCTGCGAAATATATAACTATATATATTATTATTATTATAATTATAATTATCATTATTATTATTATTATTGTATTTTCGTCTGTATTGCAATGAAAGAATAAACAATCAAATATACAAACGTTTTTATGTAAATCTTTTATAATATTAGGTGTACCTATACTCTGTATTTTATAATATTATAATATAATTCCTGTGGCTGGAACGACGGATCAAAAAATATAATAATAAATATCATTCATTATAACGCAATATTATAATAATTACTCGTGTGCCACTCGATTAAAAATCGTCGTGAATTAAATTTTTTGATTTTCACTTTTTCTACCTCCAACCGGTGGACCGACGCGCGACGTGTCGGCGTGGTTTCCGCCACCTCGTTTCCTCCAAACTATCATGGGCCTCAGTTCCCTTCCCCCCCCCGTCCACCACCGTCACACGATCACATTAACAAACCGTGCACACGGAGTCACTGTATACACACTGACACACACAACACACCGCGCACACACACACACACTCCGTCGCACCAGCAGCGGAAGACTCGTTTTCATTATCGGTTGATATTATTATTTAGATAATAAATACAAATGATATTAAAATGTATAATATAATATTGTGTTATAATTTTTTTCTTTTTGTATGCTCACCGCGTCGTGTTTCGTGATGCTGCCGCCGCCGCGCGTTTTGTACAACACCGTACAATGTGATTAGAGATTAGTGTTTTGTACGTATGTGTGTGTGTTACCGTGCGCGTGTTTTTACCGATTTTTAATTGCCACCGCGTTGTTATTGCGGACAAACAACACTGCACAGTGCACACCACGATAATAATTATTATATAATATTATAACACTATTCAAAATTATAATATTGTAATGCAATATTGTACGTAATATGTGTACGTACTATACGCGATATACGTTTAAAATATTGTAATCGTTTCGACGTTAATTTCGTACGATGCACTGTCGCCTGTACTTATCTAGTAGTAGCGGTAGTTGTTGTCGCCGTCGTCGAGTTTTTTAATTTCATAGTTTGGTACTTACGTCATTGTAATATTCACGTGTTGTTCGTCCGATAAAAATGCTATAGAGTCATCGTTTTATCGCATTCAAATGGAATCCATTGGACGTTCCACTATCATGGGTAGCAACTCTAATACTTCAGTGTCCACCATTGCCAACGCCACCTCCTCGGCCGTAGTTGGACTCTTACTGTCAGAAGCCAGACCTTCAGTGGCGACCATCACAAGTAATACAAAAACCAGGGGGCTGTGTCATGACGACAATCATAGATTGCCATTGCAACACTGCGCTAACAGCAGCAAYGTCATACAACATCACCAATTTCCTTCTATACTAGTAGCACCGTCGCCACCGTCATTGATACATTCTACTCAAACTGGTTCAATGTTACCTGCATCACCACAGTTGATGCTATCAACGACAACGGTTACGACCTCGGGAGTGATTCCACAATTTCAACAGCACAATGGACCTCATCAGTTGGTTACAGCTGCTACTGCACCAGTGTCTGTTGCTTCTATAGTCATGCCCACTTCCAATGTTACCACCGTTGGTATGGCGTTGAGTCCCTTTGGTATATTACCACACGAACGTGTGGTACCGCATAATTCTCATCATCGAAACCTGCACAGAAAACAACCGGGTCAACAATCTTCTAAAACTTTAATGGACACTAGTAATACTAGCGCCACACAAATATTAACCTCACCAGTTATAAACTCACAACGTTTCTATGTTGAGCCTACTCATCTCAGCAACAAAGTTAAACAATATGACATTCAGTCACAGCCACAGCCACAGCATAGAATCAAAATTGTCAATAGCATCTCAGATAAAAGTCTGCCAGTTGTATCCAGTGCGTATGTTCCCCAACCATATGAACAACGTTACCAACCAAGAACTGCATCACAACAAGTAGGTTATTTGTCAGTTATTACTCGTACTGCAGTGCCAACGACAAATGGTGTAATGAATGACATAACAGCAAACAATAACTATTATCAAGCACAGCCTATACCATTACAGTCAAAAACTTCTGACAATAATGACAGACAATATTACCATTTCGATAGTACAGTCTCGGCTAGTCAAACACCTCAACAGCAATTAGACAATATTTTACTAATGGGGACTCCAGTTCAACGTGGTGATCCTATGCATATTGTTAAAAATTTACAATCCATGCAGACTGATATTGATTGTTATGGTGTTAAAAAAATGATTGACCAACAACCTAGGTTATTGGCTACTGACAATAGTAAAACAATTTCATCAACAAGTTTGTTAGGTAATAGTAGTAAATGYATAATAGAGCATCAGCACCAGCATCTCCAACAGATGCCCAAATCTTCTGTGATTGATCCATCATCGTCCTACAATGGTCAATATTTTGATAGACGTCAGCCACCWCCTGCACATCTTCATCAGCATCATAATCAGCCACATTTACAGCAACATATTGTCACTGGTAATACCAAAATTTTACCTACACCTACATCTTTAACTGTTGTTTCTGCTAACGGAAATACATATTTGGATGTACAGCAGCACCAACGCCATAGTCGTTGGAACTTGGACCATCAAAAACCACCCATTGTATCAACTTCATCATGTTTTACCGGTAACATTTCCTCTGGCRTATTTCATCAGCCACCGCTGCATCAACACCATCATCAACAGTACAATAATACAGTTCAAACATTTAATGTTCAACCACCACCATCCAGCGTTCATCATCAACCTCAACATATTTCACAACCTGCACATCATAATAATTTTACTGTGTCATCAGTAAATCCAACATATTATAGTCCTACAACTACAATGATATCACCTACTGTAACCACTACCAGCCCATCAYTATCATTGTACAATCGATCACCAAGTAATAATCAAAGACAGCATGCTAACATTTTTCAAGACTTTACCAATAATTTGCAAGGCGGTAGCTATGTTGTAAATGATGATAACAGAACTTCATCTTTACCACATGTTATAGTTCCAAACATTGAAGAGGAATTGAGTCACCTTTGTGATGACTCCACTGCTACTACAAATACCACTAACACTACTATGGCTAAACCAATAAATATCACTAATCAAAAACCTTCGTTTATTRATAGTTATATAAAATTTATACATGGTGGTGCAAACAGTATGACTGATAAATTAGAAGATGAATACAATGATAAATCAAAAAAATTATCAAGACCACTATCATCGTCATCGCCAAAACCAATATCTAAGCCTTATGTGCCTTTACCAAAACCAAAGATTTTACCAACTACTGAACAGACATCATCTCGTAATAGTTCTGGTGAAGATATTAAGAAGATAAATAATGTTACAACTACYACAACAACAACAGATGATGATCCACGATATTTTCCTTTGCCTAAAACCTCATCATCAATAGCCGGTATAAGTGACGACAGAAGTGATGGCAGTAATGGTGAAAACAGTTGGTTGTCGGCAGATGATGAACATGATCAATGGTGGATATCTTCTTCAAAAGCACCTAGTAGTGCAGCAGCAACATCAGTGATAAAAAACAAAGTAGATGTTATAAACAAAACAAAAAAAAATAACAGCACCATGAAAAAAAAACGAACAAACTCTGTCGTACCAATAAAAAAACAAAGTATGCAAAACTTAGTTATTACTATTTTAATGTATCTAATTATTTTTTAATTTTAGAAATACATCATGTACAACAACCTACAAGACAATTATCTCATCGGTTGGCTAAGGAAAAAACTCAACAATTGCTTAGCAGTTTAAATGGTGAATTGGATGTAGATGATGATGTATTATCAGATACTGATTCTGATGTTGATCCAGCTTGGATACCAAACAATGACGATAATGATGCATCTAAAAATTCCAATACAATTAATAGTCGTCATAAAAAGTACTCAAAAGAGCTAGGTTCAAATATTGGTCGTCCACCATCAACCTCATCTTCAATCAWTAATAATAATAATAATAATGATCAAYTAGATGATTCAACCCTATTTAAGGTATAATGCATACTACAAAATATTTTAATGGTTTAATTTAATTTATTTTGTATTTAATTTTGGGTAGTCCGGTTCATTTGTGGCACTTAAACGTGAATTTTTGGACAGTGAACATATGAATCCACAACATATATGGAGAGTTGACGGAAAATCATTGCTACAAAAATTTACTCGATGTAATGACAATTTGTATAAGAGTGTGTCAACTGTAAGTATAATAGTAAAAATAAAAATAAATCACAATTATAATTAAAATATATGATACATTTTTAGTACACTGGTTGGAGTCCTTCACATTATAGCATGTACCGTCAAGTTGATGTTAGAATTATTACAACAGATAATGGTGACAATGTTATTCCAAATAAGTCATCAACAGTTGAAATTTTAGTACAATTATTATCTGATAATGACAACAAACCAGATCAAAATAATACTGTAGTCAAGACCACTAGTTCTGCTTATTACCATATATCAAAACTAAAAATTGATGCCATAAACTCTAGTTTGTCTACAAACTCTTCTGCTTTTGTCGATGAGCAGAGTGTCATGCTACGTGCCAATTTTGATGTGTATATCCAATCATTAGCATCACAAGCGCTAGACTCAAATTTTCTGGAAGAGATTTATCGCGAGAATGGTAAGATTTTAATACACTTCATAAGTAATATTTTGARGTAATTTTGTTTTGTTTTTGTAGATGAATACTTTTTAAGCAATCTTCGTGCTATTGAAACAGTAACACAAACTTGGAAACAAACTATAGATTCTACAATTTTAAAAGATTTAGCAACCAATTTGTCCAAAGAAGAAAATATATGCTCAGTTATTGCAAAGTACCCAAACATGGAAATTTGTTCAATAGATGAAAAATCAAGGAAAAATATTAATTTGCGCTGCTTAGTATGTGGCTATCAGGAATTTATGGAGAAACAACAAAAGAACTTTGTCGAAATATCTCTATCTGGCTTGGAGTACAGTTCTCGTACATTAAAAAATATTGATTCTAATATAACATTTTCTAAGGTAGATCTTATAACACTATTTATTTAATCATTTCATTAATTTTTTTTTTACTAATTTAAAATTTAAAATAATTTAGATTGTGCCTGTAAAGCGTTTTCACTGCTGTTCYAGCGCTCATTGCGCAGATAAGATAACTATCTTGCATAGTCTTGAACACCTTAAATATTATATTTACAAAGAATGCTGCAAGCGTGTCACTGCTGAGAATGAAAATAGCTGTAATGGTTCAACTCATGATACAACCACTGTTCTAAATCGATTGTTAGCTGATGACGAATGGATTGAGAAAGTAAGATCATAATACTATAACCAGTATAACCTATATTATACATAGTCCTAAAAGAGAATAATCAGTCTGTTGAAAAATTTTCGYCACTGTTGTGCATTTTCTGCCAATGACTTGGTATTAGTGTGATCACAATATGGTTCTTGACACCCTAATTGCATCATTCACAAATTCACAATACGCGAAAATKTATAGTTCTCTTTTATGATTAAGTATGATAMTGACAATTTGAACAATTTAATAATTATAACTTAAATGTTTATAGCTGTTTCATTTGGTATGTAATACATGGTCACAAGCTAAAAGTATTGTTTCAAAACTCCAATCAAATCGCAGGGCAGTTTCTTCTTAGTAATTTCATTGGTATAATGTATATTAAAGGTATACGATATTTTTAATAAACTATAATGGTAAATTATTAAAATTACCATTATCATATCATAGTACCAACAGCCTTTGTTAATTGTTTAGTGCCTTTCTCCATTTTATTATTGCCATTGTTAAATTTTGTATTRTATCCAAATTATTTCTAAAGGTTCTAAAAGTTACCTTTGTACTTTTGACGTTAAATGTTTTATTTTTTTACAATATTATACAATTTGTATTTGTTATGTTTTCTTAAACAAATCATGCAATGTCATGATTTTAATAAATATATATATATATATATATTGTTACCATAAAAGACTGTTTACTTGTCATGGTCAGTGGCGCAATTTCAATACAAAAATAACTGGGGGTGCTAAGTCCCTTAATTTTTTTGTTAGCCTACAAATTATATTGATTATAAGGGTGTTAATTTCAAAACTGAAGGTAACTAGTATCCCCATTTATTGCACCTATGGTCATAACTTTGATTTAATCAATACCTATAATTTGGTATTAAATAATYCTTGTATTATGTTAATTAAAGAACATTGAGTCAAATTTATAGTGAATTTGTCTCTCTAAACAATTTAATTTTTAAAATTATTCAATAATTTCACTTTTGTATTACATTTTCATACATTCATTAATGTAAAAAAAATATATTTTTGTCATTTAAATAGTGTTATGTATCTATAAGTTTTAATAAATATACATGTTGAGGGACTGTCTCACAATATATTTATATTAACTTATAAAATTCGATGAAATTATATTACTGACTTTACCCTATTAAGTTAAGATAAATACTCCATAGCAGACTTGAACAACAATTATAKCTTAAGTAAACTTGGAAGGTTACCACTTAGTATATTTCTTGACTTGATAGAGTAAAGTTACTAAGCTATTGTAGTTTTTATGTGTATAAATTGATTAGTTAATAAAGTGTTTTGCGGGCCAACTACAATGATGAGAAGGCCAGAGTTAAATCATCCATATGGTCCTGTTTCTCACCTTAATACTAAACATATTATTATTAATTAATTTTATTTATTTATACCAACATTTTTTTTTTTTTTTAATTTTAATTTTCCAATTTATGGTCATCTGTAAAGAAAATTGTATTACTATTTACAAAAAATTAATTGTAACTTATATTTTTAAAGTATACGGGTCGATAAGTTTATGAAAGAGCCTCGGTTCTAGGTATTGTACATCCACTGTTAATGTAGTATAATATTTTAAAATATTGTATTCTTAAAATAACCTATTTACTGACAAAAATTAAACTGTTGTATTGATGTGGCTTTAACTATCACATAAATTTGATATAATTGTAATTGTTAAATGTATAACTACACAAATATGTGTTTTAGTTTTTATTCACAAAATAAATAAATCAAAATGTTTATAGTTTACTATTAGGTTAAACAAGTGAATGGACTTAAATTCTGACAATTGACAAACAGATAATATTATGTACATATTATAATATATATTTATAAAAAATATATAAGTTATAAAAAAATCTCATTTGTATTTCTTCATCACCTCATAGTCAACATTTATTTAGTYAAGAATTTTCATAAGAAATTTTTATATGATGTGACCGTGCATTGTCTCCTGCATGTACAAACAAATTTCAAATTTATGATGCTCGTTGCTCATAACTTGCTTATTAATTAAAATATAAGAGAAACCCAAGGAGTTCAAAAGCTAATATTCTTACATTTAAATTTGATATTAGATCATTCTCTGTCTCTTTCAAAAATATATGCAACATACTGTAGCTTTTCAATTTTTATATTATAACTATCTTTAAATAAATGTAATGATTTTTTTTCTTACTTATATTGTAGATTTGTTGTGCATATGATTATATTTACTCTATACATTCTATACCTTCAGAATTTTATTTATTGCATTAAAAATAAATCTTTCAATACAAAGTTGCTTTTAGTTGATGTTCAAATAAATGAAAGTCTAATTCTATATTACATAAAAAATGAATTATTATTTCAAAATCAATTATTTTGGGGTTTTTAAAACTTGAATTACTTTTTTTCTAGTTCTAAWWAAAAAAAAAATTAAAACGATATTTCACAGCCAATGTTCTCATTTTTGAGTGGTGAAAGGCTGAAAGCTTCATTTCTTATCTATGATTACCCTTCTGATTCTTCAATCCCACGCGAAACAGTTTTATTTATGTTATGTGTAAGACAGAGATAAAAATTCSAGTGAAGTGTCTTATTATTAAACTTATACAGACAATACATTTTTAAAGTGTTGAATCTTTCGTTTACTTTGTGTGATAAASAGAGGGATAGTATAGGGTACAAAAAGCATGGAGGGACTAAMAAAATGTAAAATGATAAAATTGAACTGCAAGATGTACTTGGAAAGATGTTAGATTTCAACTTGGCATATACTGAACAAGTATCAGAATATCTACATAGATCATAGAATATATCTTTACAATATCRTGTAAATTGTTGGGTCCATGTAAAAATTATTAGTCTCGTTGAATGTGCTTGGAAAACAACTCACCAATTGAGGAGCAGGAATATCCAATCAGAAAGTAATTAAATTAAAAGATTGGAAGAATAATCACAGATTGAATAAACAGATATTAATTCAGTATTATTATAATTATTTCATATGACAAAAATAACATAGTAACATTTAAAATACAATAACATCAAATAAATCAAATTTATAAGTGATATTAGTAACAGCCCATTATACTTTATTTAGTTAAATCTATAATTCTATGTCCAAGGCACTTATCCGTCATATCCAATCAAATACTTCCTTCCAAACTTCATTAATCCCATTAATGCCTGAATCGAATCTTCTATTCGAGCATTCATGTGTAATATGTCTCATAGTCTGACTGTCATTTCCGCAATCACATTCTGAACTGTCCTTTAATTTTTACTTGAACATCTTATATCCACATCTTCCGTGTCCAGTTCTTAATCGGTTAAGAATTACCCATTTCTTGCACTCTTTGTATGRGATCCTTTATCAATTTTTTTATGTAGTACCGTATTRCCCAGCCACTCTTTCTGCCATTTTTTAGCACTGATGTGACTTGATAGTATTAGAGTATTTGTAGAGGATTGACTTTTTGTTGCCATTGGTCTAATAAATAGTTTTACTAATGTTTCATTCCTTTTTATTTCTGGTGCTGCGATATTTAAAAGGACTGACAGCCGTCAAAAGTACTACTCCACTTATTAACCACACTACACTGTTTAAAAGCGTATCCACCATTTTTCGAGTGTGTGCTATTCGACTAGCCTGGAGCACCATAATATTCCGCTGTAGAATACGAGAACACTAACGCGATTTTTGCCGTGCAGAGTTGTAGCATCTGCCTCCTTCTGGTTCCAGGTAGTTTCTGCACTGAGTTCAGTATCGTTTAAGTTTTTTCTATAGCTTCTCAATATGGTTCCTAAAAGCCAGTAATCGATCCATTAGTAATGTTACTYCCAAATATTTTGGGGTAAAGTTATGATTTACTTTTACTCCCTTCAACAGGACATTGAATTCCTGTTTACTTCTTTCTTATTAAGATGAAATCCACATACCTCTGTCATATCTGGATTCGGTCTTAATCTCTATTAGTAAAAGTATTTTTTCAAGGTACTTAAGTCATTTGTTAGAGTATTATCATTTTMTTTTATATCTTTACAAGTTTGTACTATTGCAATGTCAACTGCAGTAAACTGGAATTTTTAGTCAGTAGTTATCTGAAAATCGTGCATGTATAAGTTGAATAGCGCTGATGCTAGTACCTATCTACTGATCCTTTTGGTATTCCATTATTCACCGAACAGCACTTATACTTTGCTTTCCATCTATGAACACTTGGAACCTGCGGTAGATTAGCGTGTTGTTTAATAATTCACCAATTTTCTTGCAAAGTAATTCTAGCTACCATACTAAGCTTTATAGGGTTAAGTAGAACTATTATTTTTGACATTTTAAGAATRTTTGGTATTTTATATTTTATAATTTTACTAGCCAYGATTGTGTTTAAATTCCAGTATTTTTTTTATAAGCATCCTTTGATAAATACTGTCAACATCCACCGATTTATTTATTTTAACCTTCTTTAGTGCTTCCTCATCTTCAATCTCCTACCTATTGAAGGATACACTATACTCCTCGTTTACTTACAGTATTTACATTTCTTTTCTCAGTTTCTGTTTAACTTCTCTTGTATGTGATTTATCCAATTCGATCTTCTCCACTCCTATAGGAGTTATATATAAGTCTAGATACTAAGTCATTAAGCGTTATGATTCCAGTCACTGGATTTTTCATACTCTCAGATCCCAATTTCTWACGCACACATTTTCTGATCGGGTTGAGTGAAATTTAGGTTTTCTATTGTTTCTTTCCATCGTCAGCGGAGCGATGAATGTATTAATACTATTAATATTACCATGTTGTGTGTSTGTGTTTTTTCTGTGTCTGTGTACAAACACAAACAAGTTGTCAGACAAGTTGTTGAAATAATGCTTCGATTTTCATCTTCAGTAGGTTTGGCGGTTTGAAAGTGAATCTATTTGGTGTATAGGGGAAGTCAAATTATGAAAGTTTATTACCGATATTCTTATTTAAATTGTATTCAATAAAAAACGCTTTAGTCTGTAGAAACTTGAAATTTACACGATATGTTTATTTTATTAATTCTGTAACGATTGTCATCYATCGAATGTATTGTATACAATTTCACAACATATTTCATAAAACTACAACGAGAATATAACAATTTGGTGAATACAATTAATGTTAGAAAAAATGACCTAATAGAATTTCAATTAAATCAGCAATTAATTAAATACTTAACAAATTTTAATTTAATTTTTGACAAGTTTTTCCCTTGAAATAGAAGAATTATKAGATGCTTTGGCGCTTTGCTACTTTCACATTAAAAAACACTACTTTGAAAAACTAAAAACAAAAAAAATAGTAGACCTTAGTTTGTTCTACGTCAACAATATTTCATATTTTAAAAGGGACAGGTACTAATATTATAGGTATAAGTTACCAAATTCATGCTCGTTATATATTCACCAACAGTGATACTTAATAGTCATCCGGAGATGAAATATATGAATATATCAGTTAACATAAATCCAGACATATACTTATTAAATGTTTCCGAATTAGGTTTAAAAATAGACAAATTAAAGAATTTTAAGACAAATTTTAAAAAGATTAACTTCCAAATGTCAGAGTTAAAAAATTTACACCAATCCGATTAGACAATATCGTAAATKATGTAGACAAAAAATTGGAAAACGTCKTAACCAATWWCTATCAGGATTTACAGATTTATGGATTGTATTTAATATGGGGTATCGTAAGATATTTAGTAATTCATACAGTTATTACTTATTAGTATAATACAATTTTATGGTAGAAGAGAGAGAGAGGGAGAGCCGAGGAAAATGRTGAGAACCAGTGGTATGGGGTACACGGAGATAATATAACGTACGATAACTTAGCGTCATTTAAATTACAGAATTCAATTAAACTTATCCAACAATTTTGCAGAAAGTTTGTTGGACATTATTGGAAAATTTTTAA